AGATTGCTCACTTAACTATCCCTTAATTGCAGTAAACTATTTCAAAGGTTCAAGTTTATAATGACAGAACTATGCAATCACTCAAGTTTCTATCCAATTTCTGATGCAGATTCACTCTCCTTGTTGAGTGTACACTTCATTTGATTTGCTACTTCTTATTAAAACAGCTGTTTTGGTTGGTTCTTATTAAAACAGCTGTTTTGGTTGGTAATTGCTGCTATGCATGGGATTTTCCCATAGCTGGTGCTTGTTACATTCTGGATTGTTTTTGACTTGCTTTATATCTGTTGTTGGCCTTGGTCTTTTATGTTTATAGGAGAGGCTTTCTTGTTTTTGCAGAATCGAATTCATTTTTCTTTTTCCAGATAATTGTGATTTATTTCTTCCTCTTCTTCTACTTCTTCAATTTACTTAGTGATACGGTTGGTTCATTACTTTACCATTAATGAAGCTTGTTTCAGCCTCTCTCTGCCTCATTAAGTTTCATTCCCCTTATTTCTCTTGCTAAACCGGATTTTTGTTCGATTTGTGCTGCTACTTATTGGCTCTGGTTTGGTCTTAAATCTTTTGTTCAACAATCCCATGTTATGCACACTTATCTGACAGAGGAGTATAAAACCTCGTGTCCTAGACCGTGAAAGGCGGCTAGAATTTAAATACTCATCCACTTGTTTAAAATGTGAGTTCATCAATGAAAGCTGCAAGTGGGAGAAAGTATCAAATGAGAAAAATGATACGATATGATGTTTCATTAAGTCCTTTGTGTGGCAGAGATGCCCTCATTTTGAAGATAGATTACTGAAAAAAGATACATAAATCAGTACTTGTAGTTCCCTCAGAGAGGAACAGGTTTTTGGATTTGTTTAAATTGACTCCTGAGCAGAGAGTCATTGGTACTTTCTTTAGGATTTGAACCACAGGGGCCCTATATCCATCAACATGCTCAGGGTGCTCTTGCTACTAATTCTTAGATAATTCTTATACAAGTTACCATTGCATGAACAAACTTTAAAGAACAAGAGAGACTACACCAATTAATGTACGTATAAAAGCTGGACATAATAGACAGCCTAGACTAGCTAGCCTGTAACTTTCTGAAGCTTAAGCATTTCAAGCTGAAGCTGTGTATCGACTTGGAGGAGCTCTCTTGGACTTGGATAGAAGATCTTTTGGACTTGGTGACTGGCCTGGTGTCGGTCCTGCTTTCGGAGGTGGTGGCGGTGAACGGAGTTGGACATCATTGTAGTTATCTATGCTCACAAACCATGTTTTTTGTGACGAACCTGCACATGTAAGACGGCTCATGTGATTCTCAGAAGAAACTCAATCCCAGTAGACCCGTTGACAAATAATTTCCCTTGTCTTTGGAGCAGATTAATTATAACTTATAAAGCATCTCGTTACGCACGCAGACAAAAATAAGTGAATTAATTTAAAAGAATATTTTATATGTTGTTTTTATATGTAAAATCTAATTAACTATTACACGCATAAAGTTCTTAACTAGAACCTGTATGAAACTTCAGACCAAAAAAAAAAAAACCTGTATGAAACTTGATCTCCAAGTGGAGAATTCTACAAAAGCTTTTAAAAAAGGATGCAAAAGAATGTTAGAATTACATATCCACAAAAATATACAATCAACAGTTTACCAAAGCTAATTAACCAGCAAAAGTAACAAAGGAGAATGATTAAGGAGGACAGCTACTTACCTTGTGAACTACTCTTTGGTTTAACCAGAGTAGAACAGGTGGAAAATTGGAAAAAACTGATGAGAGAGAAAAGAAAAATGGTTCTCAGAATGGCCATCTTCATCTTCTTGAATATTAGGCTTGCACTGGACTAAGCAGGCAGATATGTCCATTCAATTTATGGTGATCATATATTAGCAGACTAAGTAGCTAGTATGTCTCTCTCTCTCTCTCTCTCTCTCTCTCTCTCTCTCTCATAGTGGAAGGATTAATTATATCAGAAAGCTTGACCTACTCCTCCATTAAAAATCAGCAAGTGACAGAAGAAAACCACTTCTTATACTGTCACTCCCACATGCAAAATTGACCGTTAATTTTTAAAATGTTTAATTGGAGAAAGTTTAATTAGTTTATTGTTTTGTAGATGATTGAGGGCGGTTCATCTGGATGCAGTCATCATTTCGTTAAATTTGATTGCATGTTGTCTCTGTGTCTAGGTTTTGTTTTATTCATATTCTGTAATCAGTCCTATTGACTTCTCATAGAGAGGAGAGGAAATAACGAGCTGGCAGCTTCTGTCTCTTCCCAACAACTTTTGAAAAATTAAGGAAACTACTGTGACTACCCTGCTAATGTTCCATGATAAACATATAACCCTCACCATACCAACCCAAACTTGCCTATTAACTTTGCTTTCCATACCCGACAAGCACCTAGCCAACAACTCTTTTCTTTTTTTATCAAATAACTTCATTCATCACTTTCACCAAACAAACGAGTGGAAGGAGGTGCGAAAGATAATATAAATACTCATCCGCTTATTTAAAACTTGATTTGGTGGATGGAATTTACCAGTGGAAGGAGGTGCGAAAGATAAATATGACCACATATGATGTTTAATTATAAGTTATTTGTTCCGCAAAGTTTTGGTATTGCCTCTATTTGAAATAGAACCACTGAGATTTGGACAAAACTTCAAAAGTTTAACGCATGGATTAATATTTGTAGGACAAGATATCTGATCCAAGATTTCTTCCTTTCACTTTCTTTGCTAAAGATGATGACTTTGTTGAGTGGCCAAATAGTGAATGCTCAATGTGATAAACTCAGTAAATCTATCGTTTTCCACTTTTTTTTTTTTTGTTTCCTGAAGTCCATAACTTTAAATTAATCATTGTGACATTTAATGACACAATTGTACAAAATAAATATAGGTCTTAGTTTTGGTTATCTGCATTGGATTTGTGCCTCTCTTTAATTTATTTTATGTTACTAAAAGCTTTTGGTTCTGCCTGGGGGGTTTGGTTTGGTTGTCCTATCTGGAGGTGGATATAGGCTGCCTCAGTTCCTTGCTGGAGCTGTTCTTATTTTTGGTGGATTCTGCACTGTCGTTTTTGCAGTATTCGTGTCGTTTTTATGTCAACCTGCTTTTCTTAATGGGTTAACATGACACGACACGATAAGAAAATCGGTAGAAAATGTCAAACACGAACACAACCCGTTACAATTCGTGAATCACACGACACGACCTGCTTCACATGATAAGAATTTTAAAAAATATATAAATTAAACAATTATAAAAATAAACTCATGTTACAAGCCCTACCGCCATCCTCAACTCTTCTGTCCTGCTTCCCAAATTTCTTCATCATCTTAATTGCGTCGTCGTCTAGGCCCTCATCATCACGCCATCACTTTGCTTCCGCTCATTCACAATGCCATAGATCCAAACCTTTCAAGGGTTTGATTAAAAAAAAACCTCTCCGTTTTTCATGTAAATGCACAAATAAAGAAGAAGATCAACCCCTTTGTCCATATTTACAAACATACGAGAGAAACCCACTACCTAAATTCCAACCCAAACCCAATAATTCACTCAACAACTGTTTGTACCATATTTGGAAAATGGGCCAAAAATGGTTTAATTCTCGGAAAAGATTTATTAAGCTCAGGCCCAATGCCTTTCCTTTAGAAAAGACGATAAAAATAACCTTTTGATTTTTAGGCCAATAGTGGGTAAAACTTTATAGAAGCCCACAGTGCTGCAAAGTCCTCATTTGGGTCCACACTAAAAGTTAAGAAAATTGGTAACCATTGCACATCGACCCACGTGAGGGTCTGAAGAAGGATTGTCACCATTAATGATGACTTGACCGCCTTCTCTCCCAACAAGAAAAGCAAGCTAGATAATAGTCACCAGGACCGGAAGAAACCGATTACCAATTGGATTTCCAACTACAAAGGACTCAAGTCAGAAAAACATCTCGTATGACCAGCAGTTTTGACCAAGATATTCTGTCCTCTCACCTATAAACCGGTTCAAGAAGACAGACCAACAACTGACTTTGGATAGCAGCCAAATATCCTCTTTCAACTTTCATCATTAGGAATTCTTGCCTACAAATATAGAGGCTCTGCCGCAGCAGAAGAGGACTCTCTCTCCAAAAACCAGACGCAACGTCTTGAAAATACTTGAAAAAACTCAAGATCTTTTCAAATAAACTTACTTAATATTCAGATAACCAGTTGACCACTCCTGCGTTTATCTTTTGTCGCTCTGTCATCCTCATGGTATGATTTCTTTTAAATAATCAGTTTGAATTGTTATAGACATATGTACTACTCAAACTGGATAGAGAAATCTCCTATTTTTCCTATATTGTAAACGGTGTTTGAAATTAGTTAAATGGAGAAATCTATGGCTCTTATCCTTTTTATTATCAAGCTAAAATTGGATAGAGAGATCTTTAACATCTGAAACCTCCCCACTCTCTTAAATTTGTCTTAGTTATTTTATCGAATATCTGCTATTTAACTGCTTTATATATATATATATATATATATATATATATATTCTTATAGAATAATTTGCTTTCCTGCCTTTATATATTATTCAAGCCTATTATTCATACCCAAAATAAAGGTTTAGGCCCGAATAGGGCTCTGTCAGTCCAAAA